AAATGTCTGAAGATCTGCTTGTAACTGACTATTAATAGATTCAATATTGAAATCAGACAAAAAAATCACATGCCGCAAATTTAATTCTTTCAACTAATTGGTTTGTTTTGAGTTTAATTTATTTTGGATCAMCTTCCACAAAAAGCAAAAACGCTGTTTACCTGCATCAGTGTCTCATTAGTGTTTCTAATGTTCTGCAAAGCACAACCATCAGTATTTACATTTTAAATGCTTTTCCATGAGTAATAATAAGGACATTCAAAAAGTGACTCGTTRAAAACAAACGTGCAAACAGATAATAAAATAAGTTTGTAGATGAAGTAGCCTCTTCACAAAGCCGCATTTAGGCAGTTAGTGATGATGTGGCTCAGAAAAGCATGGGGTGTTAAAAGAAACACTGAAGTTTTTAAGCCACAATAAAGTGAGCTGCACAAGAGAAGCCTTAGTGAAGTGACTCCGAGYCTGCAGCGGACAGTCAAAAGGGTTCATCTCAAACTGAATGAGCATCAGTGGAGCGAAACAATAGCAGCAGCGGCAGGCGAGCGGGCCACACAGCCTCTGATTCATACAGTCCCACCGCTGCTCTCTGAGCACAAAACAAACAGCTTCATTGTAGGAGAGACTGGCACAGCTGTCGTCATCAGCACAAACGTACGACAACTCCACACAGAGGACGTTTTAATGCACTATGAATGTTCACACAGTTTTTTTAATACAGATTATTAACTGGAAGTGGGTTGGGACAGACAATGTAAAAAATGACAACAGATAGAAGTTAACTTCCTTAAACTGAACTGTTTCTAAAAACGAGRCACAAAATCAAATCTGTTATAAACAATGAGATATCATAGCAATGGTTTTTACTTTTAAATGCAATCTACTCTAATAAAAAAAATGTAGGTTAAGTTTTGATTTATTTAGAAAGTAAAAACAAACAATGATAAATCAGCAGAAAATAAAGCCCTAACAACCAATTTTTTGTAACTTTAGTTTATCCAGCCTGAGTTTATAGAAGCAGAACATGATTTGAAAGATGATTAAAAGAAGACTCCTATGTCGACTGAAAATAAGACAAAAYAAGGTCCAAGAAAAGCAGGTCATCATGTGGAGGTTAGAGTTTCAATTAGGATAATAGATTTCAGCTTTMAAAAAAAGAGAAGAAGAAAAATATTAAAAAAAAGACAGACTGGAATCTGAGCTCTATCACAGTTCATCTAAAGATTCATTTTTATGTTAATAATTGAGGGTAACTACTGTACACAAGGTTTGTTTATTTTATTTGTTTTTAACTGAAGGCCTTGCGTGTCCTGAGGGAATGCACATTTCCTGTTGCCTTCATGCTAGAGATTGAAAAAAAAAACACAGCTGTAGGCATTTTGTGCATTCTCACAAACAGCTTTGTGTTGTGAATGACTCAACTACTACCACACCAAACAATAACCCAAATATCTGTAAAACTAAGTCAATTAGAGCCATTCTTGTGTTTTCTAATGTTAATTGGCTGAGGCTGCCATCTTGAATTGAGTTAGCTTCAAAAGCTAATAAGCTAGATCCAATAATTTATTTCATTAATTTACAAAAGTCTTATTAAAATCTGTTCAGAAGTTCACAAGATATTTTGCTAACAGAAAAACACTCCAAATGGTTAATGCTAAAATGCAAACACAGATTTTAAGCACTTTGAACAGGGATGGGAAACTTAAACCAAACTAGCGCTGCACACTTAGCCAAATGWATTAAAACTGACATTTTAAAAATGTTTGTGACACAAACATATTATATATGTTTATTAAACCAACATATAGTGCAGTGACTTAACATGTTTCATGCTAAAATACWTAWCAGTTGTATTCTTGTTTAACAAATATGAATACAAAACATTTGAAGCAAACAAAAAACAAACAAGAGTGCAGACTTTAATTTGGTCCAACGTTGAAATGGACTGGTTGTGTGGTTGTGGTTCTGGTAGATGTGGCTGTTGTTTGTGTATTTGTGACTTCAGTAAACTTTATATTTAGCTTTGTGCGACGTGTTGTAATGGTGACGTACAGTATATTAAAAGGCAGACAGTGTCTCTAAGCAGATCAAACACAGGTTTGTCTTGAAATACTGTAAATAATCTACTCCTCATACATAAAAATGTATTATTTAAAATATTATTTTACTTTAAAA